ACTGATGAATTACTTTATCATAGGACAAACGCTTCATTAAAGCGTTTTCAAACTCAACCGGCCCACTGTCAAATTATTTAAATGTTGGTACTGAATCCAGTTTCTCGATCTGAAAATACCTAGGCACCCCGGCAAATTCAAGTATTAAGTGCAGAGAGCGAATATAACAAATATAGTATTTTGTTTAAACATTGTATCGGTACACATTCAGAGACTTGATTTGAGAAACCCTAGGCAAAAAGACTACTGAAGAACAACAGCTTGCATCGACAATTTCTCTGCTTCACTGAAGATTTTCTACCCAAATGAAGTTTTGTGAAAGTACTTTAGGAACCTTGTCTATACATACTCTTGAGCTAATTTCATTCCATGGATTAAGAAGTATATTTGACGCCTTCTTTCAAGCACCACTAATGAAAGATAATACACCGAAAAAGATACTGAACCAACTGCCCATATTTCTCTAATTTGGAAAGCTCGCCATGAAAGGTTTTCACTTTGTATACCCGCCATTTGTATGTTACGCGGATATCACCTCCAAAAATTATTGCAGCACCACAATTTCGCATATGGTCTCCCACTACACTACTCAGTGTGGCCCTATGCAGCTTAACTAACGTTGATCCGACGGGAAACAGTGCTTCCTGCATGGTATGGCCGCAACCGATATTTTACATCGAAGATACATTAAGAAGTTTAAAAGTAACCTTATTTTGTTTTTGTAAATCTTTTTAACTTGAGAAATTGAATCACCTTTTACTTCAAATTGTTTTTTGTCCCCAATAAAGTCGTGATTAAAGGAAGAAGACGGGCCGAGTTTAGAAAAAAAAATTAGAATTTTGTCACGTAGCGGGGAGCTGCTTAAAGGTTTTTTATAATCTAGTTATAAAGTTTTGCTCCTTTAATCAGATGAACCTGCCAAAAAAATGAGTTGTTGTACAGCTGAATTCACGAAGTTGACAACTTGTTAGAAAAAGTTGACAGCATCGGTCATCTCATTAACAAAGAAGAGATGATGCCGTGGATCAAACAAAAGATGTAATTCTGAAAGTTGTCGCACTCAATGCTCAAAGCCTACATATCTTTGGATTTCAATAGAGACGGTTATAAGTTTTAATATTTCAGAAGATTTGTTCGCGATGTTCATCTGTTATAGCGATCAGAAGCTCACCCACCTCTGCAATGAGCGTGAGATTGTACACTTTGGTTGCAAAACCTTAAGGTAGATGCTATCTCCCTTAAATACTTCCTTTGACCATCTTAGAAACCTTTGGGGTTTGTGGAATTCGCAGGGTTTATTTGCTTAGGAATCAGAAGGCAAAGACAAATGTACGTCCTGCCACCTTGTCGAATGAACTATGGTCACGGGCCCTCAGAAAAACATATTTTATGGGACGATGACATTGAGTGAATTGCATTCCAGTGGTTGACATTGGTTTGGGCACAACATCCTCGCGCCTTTCACCTGAGCCAATGTTGCGATCTATGATAGGTTTATCTTTATAATTTTTTGTTAGTGGTGGGGGTTTAAATTTTCCCAGTGATACCCTATAATATGATGTTTCTTCAAAAAAAAAGAACCGTCTTTTGTTCGAATACGTGGTGGACTCAGGTTTCAATAGACAACCTGTGTTTCCTGCATGCTGTCAAATTGGTGGCTGTTACGGACCTCAAAAAGTTTGACTCCTTGATCCCGCTTCGAAAAAGCAGTTTACCTTTCCTTGGAAGTATGCTTGTGTTTAATCGATTCACTCGCTATTTTCGTAAGCAATTCAGTCTATGTGCTATATCTCCGTGTTATGCTACACAACGACAGACATAGATGTCGATCCGCGAATCGACAGCCTGATTTCGCAGCCATACTTTGTTAGGCCGCCGACTGCAAAAATGATTTCTCCCATATAAACGGGGGTTCGCTTCTTTGTCTCCAAACACTCTTATACCTCTCCATCTTTCACGAACATACGCTTCAACATGATTGCACAAGTGATTTTTTGCTTCCAGATCATCCATTGCGTTTCGGAAATCACCGGGCTCTGCCTCATCGGTTATTTTCTCTTCGTGTTCCTTCTGACGCTTCCAGCTCAGCCTGAGTTTATCGCCATGGACTCTACAACACTCTGTGTTGATCAACTCTACCCATGCTCCAACGAAGTCGCAGCTACTGGAGCTGAAACAGAGAAAATTACCGGAAATCTGGACTCTCGCTACGTTTCGGCTGAACTGGCTTCTCCTTCTGTTTCTTCTGCTCCTGCTGCTTCTTCTGCCTCTGCTGTTTCAGCAACCACTGGCTTATCAATCACAAACATCAGCCGCTTATTCACCTTTTCTCCAGCTAGCGACAATAGCTTCTCTGGTTTGTCCGATGGCGACACTGATGCTTCTTCTGCAGTTTCTCTTGTTTCAGACTCCAAACTTGCCTTTGCTGGTATTCCTCAGGAATCCGAAGTTGTGGAGACTGACCAAAAAAACAAAGTTGAAGATCAAAACTGTCAAAAGAGACTCGACTTTCATGGCAATGAAAGATTGATGAATAAAGCTGTAAACATTGCTCTGCTGCCTATTGCCAACCCAGATGATTCTGGGTGGCAAGTCCAAGGCAGAAAGCGTAGAAACTCTCGTGAAAAGAACGGGAAAAAGACAGATATGGGAATCCTGAGTCAAATGGCTACTTCTGAGAAGATGCTTCCTCTTAAGCCAAAACCCTCTGCCCCCAAATCCATGCTTTCCAATAATCCTTTCCTGGTCTTGGCCAATATTGGTGAGGATGACTATCAGAAGCCCTGCTCGAGAAGACAGTACGAGAAAGTTCCAGCCATTCGTACTCTTGAGTGCCCTCCTTCTGACAGAAACACTCTTTCCAGTGCCTCCAATTCTGTGGACTTCAAAATGGGCTCTCACAAAGTCCAGATTGAGGAAACAGTTGCGAATAATAAATTGGATATTGCTCAAACCTCTGCCCAAGTCTCTAAACAAGACTCTGCCAATGACTCAGCCCAGACTCCAGTTTCAAACTTGAAGAAAGTTGAGACTCCAGTTGATTTGTCTGCTACTCCTGAACCTGATGCCTTTGACGCTGGATGGCAAGTCCAAGGCAGAAAACGTAGAAACCGTCGCATAAGACCGACAGAAAATCCTGTTGTGACAGTTTCTGAAAGTGCCTTGAAGACACATGTGGTCAAACCCATTTCTATCCTGAATCCTTTCCAGGTATTGTCTGAGATAGGTGATGACGATTTCCAGAAACCTAGACCAAGAAGGCAACGGAAAAAAGAATGTATCACAGCCGCCTTATTAGAAAGTTCTAAGGTTGCGGTCGTACCAATTCTCTTTTCACCTGCTGGATTAATGGAAGACTTGGCGGAGGACAATCGCAACAAAGCAACACATTGTTCAACTGAGAAACTACCCAAGACAGAAATCTTAACACCGCCCCTCGAGGAAAACAATAGCAAAGACTCTGCAAAAAAACTTTCAGCGATCACTGTTGATACTACTTGTGACACTAATATTTATGAAAAGCAAGCCAGGGTTTCTGATCCAGAGCAGGCTTCTGGTTTGCCTTTAGACTCGTCCCAAGAAGATAACACTAACCACGATGATCTTTACTTGTCTCGCTTACGCAAGCACCTGAAGCACAAGAGACAAACAAGAACCACCCTTGCTTCTGTCTCGGTGAAAAATGACTGTGGCATGTCCACGTTTGCGCCAGCTTATACATGCC